TAATTAATTCCTAATTGAGTTTAAATTAAATATTATCATGTTTTTAGGGCATGAATCTGAATTGAACAACCTGATAATGCTCACTCTGGTTATTGTTTCCGTTTTTAAAAGCGCTATATGTTGAGCCACCTCATGTGACATTTGCCATGTGACATTTTAGCAGCAATCATTGGGCGATTTTCTAACGTTGCCATTCGGGGAGTTGTAATGAGGCTTTTTTTTTGGTGCCGTGTAAGAGAAATATATATATAGATAGATTAGCCATATGATGCTCACTACGTGCTCTTGCGCGCCGAATCCTATCAATTAAAAATGAAAACTGTTGCCAACGCGAGAAAAGAAATATCATTGGTTTTATTGATACATACATACTTATTAGCGTTTTATATAATATAGATTTCAAAATATGATTGTGTGATTATCACCTTTATTGTTAATTTAAAACAATTTAATGATTTTTTTAAAAGTTATAAAATTTGTTTGCAGTAGTTTCAATGAATTAAAAGTTCAATAATCTTACTAGTTTAAAACCGTAGTTAGAGAAGTGTTTCGGACAATGTAAAAAAAATAGAATGTCATGTTTTTTTTTTTTTATCATAGAATTTCTAATAAAAAATTATGTGTCTGTCAAAAGTTATTTAATACGTGTTTAATTTATTTTTGTTTCGCAAATTTTGTATTCACATTTTACACGTAGCTTTCAACATGTTTTGAATTCGAAATTATTGTTCTAAATATGTTTTAAGCATAAATTTCTAAAGAAAATTTGATAGACTATGTTTATTTGTTAACTAATGTTTAAGCAGTTTTTGCTATGAACTTTATTTGAAACAAAGTATTTTATCCATTTTACTAATCAATATTTTTATTCTCATTTTAAATGTAGCGCATGATTATTTCAGTATTTGAATAGAATTTGATTTAAAACATTTAATTAAACTAGGAATTGAACAGAGAGAATTAACGTCGCTCACATGATCTCGGATTGTATTTATTTAGTTTTTATAAAATGGCTAACATATGATTAGCCATCGTTAATTACGCTGGGATAAGATTACTGTACCGGTAGTCTCATTCATTGCGAATTATTATCGAGGTCAATCACGGTAAAGGTGACTTTAAATCCATTCAAATAAGTTTCATTTATTTATCTCATCAATATGTATATGCAAAAACACAAAACTGTAAATTCAAGAAAATTTTTTTTGTTTAAGAAAAAGAACAACTGTTTAAAGATAAACACAGATTTTTTTCTATTTTTAATGGTTACCGCACGTTATTTCGAAAAGTTAGCAGTTTTTTTCCGTGTATTAGACGGACAAAGCAGTTTTTCAAAAAATAGTTTTTCTCCGTTTTCCACTTTATAATCATAGACGGATTCAAACTGTAAATTTAAGTTCTAGTTTTTGCCATGCAGTTTCATATACCGTAACTTAATCGTGTTTCAAACTAGTTAACGATTACTTTCTATACTAGCTCTTACTTTTCAGAAATTTTTTTATGGCACTGTTTAAATAAAATTGCGATTCAATTTCTTACTCAAATTGATACTCTATCTTATCATTATAATGTCTTTAGAAATAACTTTTCAATAAGTAGAATGGGGAGACATTTGTAAAGATAGTTTAAGATTTTAACTAATAACAAAACACTAGAGCAGTGATTCTCAACCTTTTTTTGTGGCGGCACACTTTTAACGATTTCGAAATTTGACGGCACACAATGAAAAAAATTAGATTAAAAGTTGCTTAATTACCTATTTTACACTGTGTTGAATAGTTTGTGATAATAATTTTGAATGTGAAATAAAATAATATGTACTACAAAAGCACATTTATTAAGGGATTAATTATTTCTTTTGACCAATTTTTTATTAGTTAGGTAACAGTTATTTATTTTTTGCTAGTTATTAATTGTTAGCTTGTTTTCTATAATTATTAATTGTTATTTTTTTGTGATTTCCTGTTAGCTGGTTTTCTTGCTAATCATTAATTGTTAGCTTAATTTTTGTCAGTCATCCTTTGTTAATTTGGTTTTATATATTTGTTTTTTTTGTTATCCTTTGTTAATTTGTAATTTATTAATTGCATAGCTTACTTTAATGATAAGTTCTTACAACATTTTTTAATATTGTGCTTCATATACAATTTAAACACTTCCATCTTATTTTAACTTATTTTAAGATTGTCAGAGACAAGACAATCGCCGACAAAAATGTTCACGTGGTTAAAGCGTGGTGAAATTACAAAAAATATATATTATATGTACACTTTTCTTTAATTTAAACTTTACTCATAATAAAAAATTTATTATAATTTTTATTGTATCATTTCTAATATTTGGGGGCACATATTAAAAATTTGGCGGCACACAAAAGTGTCGCGGCACAGAGGTTGAGAATCACTGCACTAGAGCTACGGTCGCTCCAGGGACAGAGCGCTTGCCTCTCAATTAGATGATCCAGATTCGAATCCCGGCGCATTCTGCTCTCGGTTCGCATCGATGCTATAATGCTGGCGTAGTTATTTTGTAGTTTTTTTTTTAAGTAATAGAGTAGTTTCTATTAAAAAAGTAACAGAGTTTGTTTATTAAAATAATAGTGCGCATCTTTTTAAAAAAACCGGCGATCATTTTTAAATAACTGTATTTTTCTGTTAAATTAGCGGTTTTATAATGTGCTGGCAGTTTTTTTACCAGTACATTTTTTACAGTTTGGAATGATAATAATAGGAGAGGGAACGACGACGAAAAACCTCTTTTATTTCTATTGATTGTACGATTTATATCTATTATTTTTCATGTTAATAATTATTATGGAAAATTAAAAATATGCTGTACAGTTTATTCGTAATATTAACAGGAAGCAAAAGTTAAATTACACCAGATGAGATTTATAAAGTTAAGGAATCCCTATCATTCGAGCATCTTAGCTTTCCATTTATAGGGGCCGCGCTAAGAATTATCATTATTAGCCAGTAAAATAGCCAAATATTAAAAGTATTCGCCAATTTTCAAAGTTTTCACCAAATGCGAATCTTAGCAATTTTATATATATATATATATTTTCCTTTTCGGTGGAAAAATCCTGCGCCAAAACATAATTTTTTTACAAACTTACGATTTTATCACATTTAGCGAGATGGCGAATGCTTAGCACGGGTTCTGCATTTATTTGTACCCAAGCCCCTTAATACCTTAAACTATTCATTATGATGTATGTTTCAGTCCTTCATAATTGGTGACAAAATCGGAGACAATATGCTTCCAATTCTAGAGGGTGAAGATTGGAAGAGAGTAAGGACCATCATTACTCCAACATTCACAACTGGAAAACTTAAAAGGGTAAGTGATAACTGTCAGCCACATATTTTTTCCGGAATATCTTAATGTCTAAGTGTTCCTAAATGTTTAAGTTCAGTCGGAAAATTGTCCAAGTTTGTGTGGTGTTGCTTTGTACCGGATAAGGTGGTGAGGTCTTCTATCTGCACATTCTTTAAAAAAATGTAACCAAGTTTACAATCAAAGCAAAATAACGATGTCTTTATTCAATCAATCAAGTTTTTTTCTTGTGAAACTAGCATTTAGCTTAATGAACCTATTTGGCCATTTGTATAACAATAGTTAATTCGAGGATATTAGGAATAAACATAAATGTAGAGAATACCGGACAATGGTACTCAATCTTCAACAGGCTTGGGTAAACAGGATATTGGCACACACACCCTTGTAACTCTCGCAATCTCTGATTTTAATTAGTCGGAAACGATTATTAATAACCAAGTCACTGATAATTTGTTAATGTTTGTATAACAAAATCTTAATCAATCATAGGAAAAGAGTAAAACAATTGAAAACTCATATGTTAATATAAGTTTAGAAAATTATCAAAAAATGGGTTGATAATGTTTGATTAAAGGATCAGTTTTGGCGAGCTTTTACCGACCCGAACAACCCCTTTCTCAAAAATTCAAGACCACCCCAATAAGCCAAGTCAGATTTAACGTGCACCTTGCTACTTATGTAAACCAGTTATTTAGTCGGCTGCCAGGATAGAACTCACAACCCTCCTGGCATTTTAACCTAATATATTGAATAGTAACTAGTGGGCTGCGCGCTAACGCTCACCAGTCCCCGAAAATTGCTACGCAGTCTTATATGGTTTGCTTCGCAAACCAAGCTCGCTTCGCTCGCTACTAACCTAGGTACATTGCAAATGCACAAAATTTTAAGAATTCGAAACAATCATTCAAATCCATATTAAAAATTTTTTTTTTTTAAAAAATTACATCTCTTTAGTAAATGCTAAGTCATGAAAATAAATTTGAATTAAAATAAATGACACGTAATTCGTTAAACCTATTAGAAATGAACTATAATATAAGATAAAATTTCTAAAACTGATATCTCTTTTAAAAGGTTAACATTTTGGCATAGCTGTCATCAATGCTCTCTTCCAATCTTCGAGCACGCTTCTTTTGATTATACTTCAAAAGCGTAACGGCACGACTGAGACTCATTTTTCAATGAATAACTAATAACAATAGTAAAACAAATAAATTCGTGATATAAATCAAAAATCGTAAAATAAATTCGTAATATATAAATTCGCGAAAAAAAAGCGCTTTCGACAAAATACTAAAATCGAGATCTATCGACAAAAACTACTCACTTCTGCTTAGCTTAATAGCATGAGATTGCCTCACTGATTATTTCAGTCTCCGTTTTTAAAAGCGCTATATGTTGAGCCACCTCAGCTAGATTTGGGATGTAACATTTATAGCGGCAATCATTGCTCGATTTTCTATCGTTGCCATTCGGGGAGTTGTAATGAGGCTTTTTTTTGTCGCCGTGTAAGAGAAATATATATATATAGATATATAGTATATAAATTATATATAATATATAAATTCGTAGTGCCCGCAAACTACAACAACAACAACAACAAAAAACTTTTTAATATTATTTGAAGAAAATGAATGAATACACCATTCTAAAATAAAAATATATATTACAAAATGCAACATACTCGAAACGTTTCAGTATACTCTTGATATTTTGAAATTTTTTTAGATTCCCTTCAACTTTGTCGAGAGAATACTGTATATGTATTTATTTCACTGTCTGATAAAAGGAAACAAGCCACGCGCGTAGGAAGAGAGCTTGGAATTGAATGCATAATTTGAAAGTAGTTTCAGAAAAATTGAAATAAATATTGGTCAGGTAAAATATACATTCTCATAAATATCGGCCTCAAAAAATTGTAGTACAGTGCGCAAATAAATAAATAAATAAACAAATAAATAAAGGGATTACACTTTACGTTCTCGGACTCAATCTTAATAGTTCTAGAGCTAGGGGGGTAACCTCAATTATGCTAACTGATTAGTACAAACGATATTTTTGTTACGAAATCCGACACAAAAACTTACTTCTCTGAATGAACATACCTTTTTATCGAAGGATTTAGATTCCTGACCCTCAAAATGTAGCTGCAATCTGGGAAATATGATTCCAATACTTTTTTCAGGAGAGCGGGCTGAAGTTTGGACTCTTTAATGTTTATTTTACTTTTTGTGTATTTCTCCATATCTCGGGAACTTTTTAAGCGAAGTGAAAAATGTTTGCTCACAATTATAAAACTTTTTTAACCAATTATAATATCATGCAAAAAATAGCTTTTAATAATTTTTATGACTTTATTTAATAATAGTAAAAAATCTTCGAATTATAAGGTATACAAATTTTTACATCTTTTTAAAAATGTAATTTTTTTCCGCAGTCTACGCTTACTTACAAAATACAAAATTTCAGTGAAATCGGGCGAGTTGTTTCTGAGAAATCAAATTGTAACAAAGACATTTTTTGAAATAATAATTTTCAACGAAAATCAAATGATATAATTTGAGTCAGTTTCAATAAGTATTAATTAAACTATTTCCGACATGAAACTTCATTTTATGAATGTCAAATACGAAATTTTTTTATTTGTCTCAAATCAGTCTTACTGTTTTTCGCTTTTAAAAACCATTTTTCTCAATTGCGTAAGTATGAAAAAAAATAAAAATAAAAGTGAATTATTTAGTTATATAAAAATTTCATTGAAATATTTCTTGATTAATATGTGTTTCTATTGCATTTATAGCTCATGAGTATTTTCAAAGATTGTGCCAAGACATTAGTTCAAAATTTCAAAATGTCTGAAATGAAAAAGGAACCCATCGATGCCAAGAGGTTAGTTTATTCCATTAACTAGCTGAAAATCCTTTCTCCGTACGGGTGAAAAAAAATTAAACTATCAGTCAATCAATAATGAATAACACTACGAAATCAAGCACAAAACTGAGACACATATACCATAAAGACGCAATTAATAAAATTAAAAATAATTCTAATTTTATTTATTCATTATTAATGTTTGTTCTTTTCTATAGCTTTACGTTATTAGATTAAGAAAAACACATTTTCAGTAGTTCATTTAATTAAAATAACGATTAACTCGATTCAGTATCGTTTGGAATGATGTCATTGCTGAAGGCCAACTTATGATGGTCTAAATTCACAACAATTAAGGCATTTTCTCTATGATACTCATGCTTTTAGAAGGCCTTAAAAGTACTTCTTGTTAGAGAACTAATTAAAACTGCATTAATAACTGTGTAGTTTTTAATTAACTATAGTAAAACTACACAGTTATTAATGCAGTTTTAATAGGTACCAAATATACTAATTCTTTCTACATTAGTATATTTGGTAATAATGAAAACTGCACTAGTAACCACAATATCAAGTGCCTATTATCAAAATTAATTAAGTTGCATTGGTTTTAATGATAATATGTTGATTTCGCTGAACGGATTAGTACTATTTCTCTATTAATTTTACTTTTTAGTACAAAACTTTTTTTTAATTTCAATTAGAAATCATTGCCAAAATTAACTAAGCATCATTGATTGTATGATATTTTATTGTGTTTTACCTAAACGGATTTAAATCATTTTCTTATTAATTTTGCTTTACTTCATAGTTTATAATTTTATTTTGATTAGTACCTATGACCAAAATTAATTAAGGATCATTGGCTTCAAAAATAGTACTATGGCTGTTTTTTTAATTTTTTCCTAAACGAATTACAACCATTTATCTAATAATTTTGCTATTTAGTACATAGTTTATGTTTTATTTCAGTTATAGTATCTATTATCAAAATTAATTAATCATCATTGATGTCAAAAATAGTTTAATCATTTTTTTTTACTTTTCTCCTAAATTATTTAGTACTATTTCTCCATTAGTTTATATTTTCAGTACATAATTTTTTAATTTCAAATACTGTTGATCTTAAATTATTTTCATAAAAATGCGTTTTAGAAGCAAATTATTTAAATAAAAAAATTAATATTTGGGTTTCATATTACACGAGAAATGATAACATTTCTTGAATTACAAGAGAGACACACGAACAGACTAACGCTGCATTTTATTGTTATAAATAATAATTAAATGAGGGGGGGGGTGGAGGGTTGTCTCTTGCTGTTATTCCTGAATTGTTTGTGCTAGCGTCCTAAAAATTCGGTCAGCCGACGCAAGAAGAAATTTTAGCCAGAATTTAAAAATGGCTTAGAAACTTCAAGGAATTCATTAAGAAAGAACGTTTTAAAAGTTATTTTTTTAATAGGTTTGGAATAAGCCGTACAAATTTAACTTTAAAAGTGTTTTTTTTTCTTCTTTTCAATACTTTAGAAGATAACTAACACTGGCACTTATAAACTTAGAGCTATGTTTAATTAAACACGAAGTTGCATCTTCCTTGATGCATCTTCTTTCCTTATATGCCATATCAAGGATAACGCCATTAAATTAATTCACATTCGTTAGAAAACCCTACCAGAGGTCTAGCTGTTCTCCCCTGACGTCATAGAATTGACGTGACTATTTCTTTTTTTTTATACGTTCTGGCTCTGCTTGTTTATTCTTGGGATTCTCAGTTGTTCTGATTTTTATTTTTGTATCGTGTTTTGGAGTAAGAATGAGTTCTTCGTATTTTAAAATGTTACATGAAGATGTATAAAAAAATGAACTATCCTAGATGAAGATATGAATTATCCTACAGTGATATGTAATTAACTGATTCTTTAGGAATCGAATGTACGCAATTTAGTTTATAAATTAAACAAAAACAAAATATTTTGTTAAGAAACAAAATTTTTTCTACCTGAATCTTCTACCAGAAGTTGAAACAACCACTACAAATACTGCCTCCTACCAGGAAAAACATGAAACATGGTCGAGAATAAGGTGTATAATTTGAAAACTGAATGAAACTACGTGATTTTTTTCTTTATAGTTAAGCTTTTAAAACGTGTTTCCATTTATTTATTTATTTATTTATTTAAAAAAAAACGAGTTCTTTACTAACGTGTAAGCTTAGCGGGAAAGTTGCTAGCAAACTCAAATAATACTGAGTTTTAATGAGTCGTTCTTATAACATGTTTTGCTTGAACAGCTAATTATGTAAAACTTCCATCGGGAAGGGAACAAATAATAGAAAGATTTCGCAGTTTCACGTATAATCTCACACGATGTATTGCGCATGTGGACATGAATTCGTCTATGCAAGTTCAAACCTAGTTGGAGAAAAAAAGACATTTTGCTAAATATGTTAAAAAGGCAGACGTAGTGAGTAGAAAGAAATCACCGACTGAACAGTATTTTAAAACGAATTTAATGTTTGCATGTTACAGACTGAATAATTATTTCTTAAGATGAAAGATTTTATGAGAGATTCGTCCTCAGATCAAGTTTGTCCAATTACTTGGGAGAATTATTCAACATCGTTCTAATTTCATTTATTTTTAATAATGAGCATAAAAACAACGAGAAAATGCCCGTCTAACATTTCGGCCAACACGGTATTTAAATTGCCACGTTGTATTGTCAGAAAATGGGACGTTAGTTTTTAGAAGTAGAAGTAATTTAAAAAACAGCTTTTGTATTATGCAAATAATTTATTGAAAAGGAAAATTTTTTTAGTAAAATTCGACAGAATGTGATGATTTTTATTCATTTGTACATTAAAAAATAATGGCATTAAAGCTTTTAAAGACAATAATTTTATTGAACAGTAATAAACAGCGTGCATGCTGCTGTGTAATGTTGACCATGCCCACAATGCCCAAAGATACGAAGGTTAAAAAGACAAAATCGTAAAACATGCGTAATTACTTCGAAACTTCATAGCAGGATGATATGCAAAACTTCGAAATCTCTCTATTTATTAAAAAGAAATTGTACTTATTTTAATTCGTTCCAATGTGTAAGTATATGGCCTCCAGTTTTGTGCATAGTTCCGTTATGCTGCTAATTATCAATTCCTAACGTCTTTTATTTTTTTATTTTTTTTAATTTTTTTTTTTTTTTTGTACCGCGTACGAAGAACGGATATTCGGAGAGTTTTGAACTATTTTTGAGGCATTGTGTCCACAGGATCTCAATGCAAATTTGATGTTTTACCTCATACCAAATTTATTATTCCTCATGTTATGGTATATGTTTTACTATTAGCTTTTTTGTGCATAAATTATCAGCTTTTACATAAATTATAAGATAAACGTTCTTTGGATGGAATTTTTAATGGAATTTTTCTGAGAAACTTTCAAATTATTAAGGTATCCGACTAGTTGTGACATTATTTTTTTCAAAATCGCTAAATTAAAAATTAAATTTTATGTTTGGAAAGCAGGGGCTCTAAAATTATAAATTTAGCATTAAGTTAGAACATTTATTAAATATTTTTCAAAATAAGGGCAAATTTGAGCTTAAAAACTACCATTTTTATGTCACGCTAACAGATCTACAACAAAATCGTAATGCATAAATTTCCAAGCATATTTTTTCTAGATCAACAATGTGATTACCTGTGAGAACTAAAAATCTTATTATTTTTTTTAAAAAGACAATGGAATAGAACTAACTACATTGTTTAATATTAAATTTCTAAACAATGTATTTAGTTCTATTTCATTGATTTTTTTTTTAAAAATTTACCTAAATTTCGACGAAAAATTCTAAATATTATTACTTAAAGCTTGCTAAAAATAACAAATTCAAACTTTGAGCTTAGCCTTTAGTTCAAAAAATTTCTAATGCAAAATTTACATTCAAAATTTCAAAGAATTCTATAATGAACATTTTTGTATTGTGTGTTTGTGTAAAGAAATGTTCACAAAACCTACGTTCTTCAGAAAATGCATTTAAAATGCAAGAAAATAATTCGAAAATTAAAATTTTTATTTGTGTTAGAAATATAATTTATTCAAATTAATAAGGGTTCCAACACTCAGCACAAAACAAAAAACATTTTAGTTTCGTTTTCGTTAGTTTTGCTTCGGTTTTGTTTGTCAACATACGAAAACACAACTGAAGCTTCATTTCTAAAAATCGGGAATAAAATTTTAAAGGGTTTAGCAGTGCCGTTCCTGGGGTGGCGGAGGCCTGCGTGCAAGAATAATTTTGTGCGCCCCTATATACTATGCTTAAATTTTGATGATAAGGCCAATTTTCATAATCATTTTTAGTTTGAGGTTTAAACTGAATAGTTTCCTTATAGACTAAAGTCACTTTAGTGTAAGTGTTTGATTATGAAAATGGGCGTAATAAAATAAAACAACGAAAAAATATGACAAAAAATTTATTTTCGACATCAAATAAAATAGACTATTAACGTACAATATAGGTCATAAATAAAACACGTCCATTCGGAAATTAACAAAAAATCTAATATAACTCAATTCACTCAACTGAGTGAATTGAGTTAAAACTCTCAAACGGCGCTCAACGCAAACAAATCCGTTAACTTGAAAATGTGCAAGATCTGTCTAATACCTAAGTACCTAACTATCAAATAACAAGGTAGTTTTAGAACATAACACGTCTTGCTTTTGCAGATGCAAGCTCATGGCTCATTTCATTGTGATCGATGACTTCACATATTTTATTTTCGATTGAAATAACAGCTAAATCTGAAAGCCTTTCCTGGCACATCGAAGTTCTCAAATAAGGTTTTACAAGTTTTAACTTTGAAAAACTCCTTTCGCCAGACGCAACAGAAATCGGCAAAGTTTACAACTTTGCTATAATTTGATTTTTAATAATTTGCTATAATTTGATTTTTTTCGAATAGTTGGACTTGGCGCCCCTTAAATTGGGCGCCTGCGTGCGGGGCATTCGCTGCATACCTGCCAGGAACGGCACTGGGGTTTAGGTAAGCTAATCAACTAAAATTTAAATATAGATTTTGAATGATACCTTACCAGTTGGATACCTTAAAAAATAACTTATCTTTTCCTTATTTCAGTGGACATTTTAACATAGGAGGTTTTTGAAATGATTTTTAAATTTAATTATGTGAAAAAATTTTGGATTTAAAATTTATATTTCAAATGTCAAATTTTAAAAATTAAAAAAAAAGGACCTCAGATCATACTCAGAAAAACAACGTCAAAATTGCCTATTTTCACAATAAATTTTTTGCTTAGTTTTATTCACGTCAAAATTGCCTATGAACCTATTTATAAAAGATACAACATTTCCAAAATAATGTACAATATTGATCATTAAAACTGCTGATGAAACGAAGAAACAACTTGAGAGATATTAATTTGAATGATCATTAAAACTGTTGGAAAATATTGATCAAGGAAGCTGCTGATGAAAGGAAGAAACTAATTGAGAGATCCTAAACCTAACTCTTCACAGTTGAATTTAGTTATTTTTATTCTATGCGAAATAGTAATAAAATTTTCCATAAATGCATTATATTTCATATTTCATATTTTTCCAAAAAACAAATTGATAAACTCTTTCAAAATTTGATAAAAAACAATGGATTCCCAACTAAAGTAATAAAATTCTATCTAAAATCATTGAATTAATCGTATACTTTTGTGGATATATTTACTATAAAAGATGAAAATATCTGCTTTGGTGATTTATACGATAAAAGAAATGATTTTAATTTTAATATAAATAAACTAATTACTTGGAATTCTAATGTTTCTAGGAACATCTATTTAAATACCACTTTTAATGAAATGAATAGAATTAAAAGAATATGTAGCAATATTTATTTTTCCAAAAAACAAATCGATAAACTCTTTTAAAATTTGATTAAAAAAAACAATGGATTCCCAACTAAAGTAATGAAATTCTGTCTAAAATCATTGAGTTAATCGTATATTTTTGTGGATATATTTACTAAACATTTTCTTAGTTAATTTATATAATTTTCCCAGGTGCAAATTCATTTCGGGTAAATCCGTTGCCAAAATTGTTGGCTAAAAAATTTCAATGTTTATTTGTATAATTTTTCCATGTGCAAATCTATTTCGGGCAAATCCGTGGTCAAAATTATTTACTAAAAAATTCCTTTACTGAAAAAATTCCTTTGTTAATCTATATAATTTTTCCATGTGCAAATCCATTTCGGGCAAATCCGTGGGTAAAATTATTTACTAAAAATTTCTTTATCAATTCATACAATTTTTTCATGTGCAAATCCATTTCGGGCAAATCCATGTTAAAATTATCTACTAGAAATTTTTTCTTTGTTAATTTATATAATTTTTCCATGTGCTAATCCATTTCGGGTAAATCCGTGGCTCAAATTATGTGCAAAATAGGCAATTCATGTTTCTCGCTTTTCAGATTTTGTTGTATTCCGTTTTTTTCTTTTATTTTATTTTCTGTTTTTATGTGTTATTTTTACTTATTGTGTTCTATTTTATTTCTTGCAATTTTTGAGTGCTCCTCATACTATTGTATTAATATATTTTGCTTTGGCTTTATTGATACAATATCAGAAAGCACTCTTTTTTGCGGATATAATCGTGTGGGCTGATGAAAAGATTATATCTTTTATTTTCCGGATTTTTTAAAAAATTATTATCCTTTTTTTTTCTCCAGTTGCTTGTTATTTTTTTGCATTATTATTTCCCCCCCTTTTTTTTTTCATTTGTCTGTAATTTTCCTTTGTTTTATCTTCATTTTGAACTTGTATATATATATATATATATATACGCATAAATTAGCGACTACTTTTGGTATTTTGCTAATTTACTAATTTGGCTAATTTGGTAATTTGCTAATTTGGTATTTTGCTAATTTACATAAAAATAACGGAAATATTAAATGAATAATGGATTATTAATTAGATATAAGTTTAAATACACGGTCAATAAAAAAGGTTAAAAAAATTTCGAAAATTTCAAATTTCAAAAACTCCTGTGACCCTTCCACGGAACCCTGATGTTTCACGGAACAACAATTTGAGAACAATTGTTCTTGATAATCGATTTCTCTCTTTATATTTTATTTTTATATCTATTTTATATCATTCCTTTGAAAAAATTTTTTTAATTAGTTATCTTTCATTTAATTCAGTTTAAGTTTTAAATCAGTTCATTTTTATACGTTGACGTGATATTTGATAGGTTTTTTGGAGCGTTCACTATGGACGTGATTGCTAGTTCTGCCTTTTCGACCAAAATAGATTCTCACAACGATCCAGAAAATTCATTTGTTCGATATGCTAGAGAAGCTTTTAGTACTAAGATCAATTGGAGATTGCTACTTTTTCGTAAGTATTCATTTACAATAATTTTTAACGAAATGTACAGTGCGCAAAATAAAAAACAGACCACCCTCAATAACTTTTGATCTAATGATCGGATCTTCAGACTTAATGTTAAAGGCTCAAGGGGGTAACCTCAAATATGGTTATCAATTAGTGCAGAAGATATTTTAAGTTACGAAATCAGACATAAAAACTTACTTTCTCTGATAAACATATTTTTTTTCTTCTTGCCGGATTCGGATTCCTGACCCCCGAAACAAAGGGGGCAGCCACAATATGGTAAATATAGTTAGAAGTTAGAATAGTTTGGCCAGGAGTGCTGTCCATAGTTGGTCCCCTTAATGTTAATTTTACTTTTTGCGTTTTTTGCCAAATCTCGATAACTTTTTAAGGGAAATGAAAAATATTTGCACACAATTATAAAATTCTATTATCCAAGGATAATTCCACGCAAAAAAGAAATTTTAGTAAATGTTTGTTATTTTTTATATTTTATTTAATATTAGTTGAAAAAATTTAGAATTGTAAGGTATACAATTTTTCACATCATTTTAAACAATTTAATGTTGCATTGCAAAATGCAAAATATGAACAAAGTCAGCCAAATGGAATTTGCATACATTTGAGAAATTGAATATTTAAAGTACCGCTTCTTCGAAATTAAATTTCTCAGGAATTATTCGACCGATTTCACGAAAAGTTTGCAATTTGTCACGTAAAATTTTGTTACTTAAAATACCGTATTGAAATAATGTAAAAAACTGTATACTTTATACTACAAATTTTTTCGTCTATTATTAAATATGATAAATATTTATTTAAAGTTATTTTTTGCATGGAATTATCTTTGGTTAAATGAATTTTATAATTGTGTACAATAACTTTTCAATTCGCTTAAAAAGTTATCGAGATATGGCAAAATACACATTATTAGTAAAATTAATATTAAGGGATCCAAACTTTGGACCGCTTTCTTGGCTAAACTATTGGGCTCATATTTATCAGAAAACGGCTTTCCCCTATGTTTCGGAAATCTGAATCTGTCGCGAGAAAAAACGCATGTTTATTCAGAAAAAGTACGTTTTTGTGTCTCATTTCACAACTTAAAATATGGTCTGATTTGATTAATTGATTATTTGAGATTGAGTCTTCGAATCATTAAAATTGAGTCCTAGAACGTGAAGATTCGATCATTAGAACAAAAGTTATTGAGGGTGGGTTGTTTTTTTATTTTGCGCACTGTTTAGGACAGAGTAAGTCTAAAATGAATGTATCAGTTTCATAAATGCTTTACGCATAAAATGCATACTTTTGCAAACATGCATTGCTAAGTTTTGAATGTATTCCTGTCAAATGCTCGATACGCGTTTCTTTTCTTATACGGCATACGCGCCACACAACCATTGCCAAGCACCTAGCCCCATTCTTAGGGCACAATCTTTTAACAGGCGAGAATACCATATCATTAAGACCCTGGTCAGAGGACGCGGACAACGCCTGAACTGGTACCCCCTTCTCTAAACATTCACACCACAGCCAACGATAGAGTTTTCATCTGCGACAAATTTAACGTGCACCTTACTGCGGTTATTTTGTGAGCTTCCAGGTACGAACTCATGACCCTTATATGGCATCTAGCTGCTATCGATTATTCTGGATAGCAGCTGTGATACGGACTATCAAATCAGTTGGACCTGGAGACACATACACGCTATCTTTTACGAACCCTCATTGGATGAAAATCGCATCGGTTGAGAATTGGTTATCGTGGTGGCCAATGTAAGAGTGCTGTAGATTAGCGACTTATTGAAGTGGCGTTGTTTTTTCGGCGCATTTTGTTTCCACAGAAAACGTGAATGATAAATGGTTCTATGAAATCGGGGATTTGTTTTGACTTACCCTGTAACGTGTTGATATGAATGTTGAAATGTTGTATGATAAAATGTTGAGATATTGTTTGATAAAGTGTTTTTATTTATTTTAGTGCTCGCACCCAAACTAATGAACTTCTTTAAGATGTCAGTTTCCAACCCAGCCGTCACAAACTTTTTTAGCGAAGTGACTGCTCAGATTATAGCGGAAAGGAAAAGGACAAAACAAGTAGGCTAATTTTATTGTTTAATTTTCGCTTATTTATGTATTTTATCATGACTCACTTTCGAGTTATAATACACTGCTTTTCATAAATAGGGGAGGGTGGCCTAAAGCGGGTAGGTTAACAATAAACTCTCAGAAGTTGTAGTTTTTGGGCTTTTATCGCAGCGTTTTTGATTTTATTTCTTAAGAGAGATCTTGAACTTAAAAATAAAAAATGATTATTGCGTTGTTTTAAATTTTATGATTATTTATTATCAAGAATAAAAAAACACTGAAAAAAACCGCTTTGCCCTACAAGGGGGCCTAAAGCGGGTAAGCCGTTCGGGCAAAGCGGGTAAGCACCATGGATTTAACAAATACAAGCGCGTATTAATTTTCTTAAACATTAATAATGAGACCTTAATCACGCGTATAATAAACATTAAAAATAAAATTTAAATAAAAATTTTAGACTTATTTTATGTCTCAAATTATGATTTGTTATTCTTGACATAGTTCGCAAAAATAAGACCTTCTTCCTGAATAAGTTGTGCAAGCTTCATGAGCCCAGTCTTTACAATTTCCACATTCAATCCAATCTTCTAGCTGTGGGTCCTCATAAGGCCTCCCACAAACAAGACAAAAATACTCTTTTGAAATTTTTTCTTTGAAGCTCTTTGTTTTTTAGTTTTACCTGGTTTACTTTTCGAAGGAAGATTTTTAAAAATTTTTTTAACAGCAGCGTTGTTACTAAGACGTTTCTTCTTTTCTTCCTTTTCTATTTGCATATTTTTAAATGATGAACTTGTTAAGACTTCAGCTCTTTGAGTTTTTCGTTTACGACTAGTTTTGTTCGGAGTAGGTTTTGGTAGCGGTCTAATATCCGAAGGCTTCACATGAGGTGTCAATGGCTCTTCTACTGGTTTAAATGAATCGTCACTAGTTGTCGTAGAACATGAAGGATCATCTTCAGCTGGATCATACGAAGTTTCTCCGTTTGTGGATCGTAGCGAAATCCTTGAAGCTTGAGAGTAATTGTGATCCATGTTTTCAAATACAGATGTAGAAGTAGAGCAATCAGAATTATTAGAAAGACGACCAGCATCAGTAGATTGGATCTGCGGTGGGCTATCGTTGGTGTTTTCAATAACTTCAGCCCTGTCTGTCGGACTAGCTGGCAAAAAGTCAGCATCACTAAATATGTGTCGGTTCGTGGGCCATATTCCTGAGGATTTAAATCCTTGAACAGCATTTTGTGCACTAGCTGCTTTTGAATATGCTTTTCCAACAAGTGAAGCTACGTCGTACTGAGTAATTATTCTACCTACATGGCTTTCTTTGAAAAGGAGAAACTTCTTGTTCAAAGTAAGTTTTGAACGGTCCATAAACGCAATGGTCTAGAGGTTGCATGCGATGAGTTGTATGAGGAGGCAGCGATACAAAAATTACATTATTTTTTCTAGCATATTCAAGGGCCTCAATATATTTGTGAGATTCATGGTTATCAAATATTAAGATTACTTTTTTCTCAGGAGTTGAACGGGTATTCTCGACGGAGTGATGAAGCCAATCTAAGAATTTCGGTCGATTAATCTATCCGTTGTCAGTGCAAGTAGCAAGGGAACCAGGGGGTGCTCCATCTCACAATCTACCAGCCATTCTTTTTCTACCATAAATAAGAAATGGAGGTATAAAATCCAGCCGCGTTGCAGCAGCAGATAACAGTCGTCAATTTTCCTCTTTTCGCTCTTGAAATTACACCCACCTGTTTTTTCCCTGATTTTGACAAAATTTTCGGAGGTTTATTACTAGATGCATGAATGCCAGTTTCATCCATATTATATATTCTTGCTGGATCAATGTCATTCTCATCAATTTCTCTTTCCAACAAATCATAAAATCTGTAAACTTGAGGCCGATTGAAACCGCGTGCTCTTGCAATTAATGTTGGTTCTGATTGCCTAACAACTAAATTAGGATGTCGTTTTTTAAAACCCAAATACCAATCATTTCCAGCACTACCGTTCTTGAAATGATGAACGATATTATTGCGTTCTGCATACTTATAGACTAGTTTCAAAAATGCATTTTTATTTAAGCCGTAGAAAAGATCATCGACTTGAAATACAAATTCCAATAACTCAGCTTCTTGCTCATCATTGAATACTCTTCGATATCGTCCAAGATTGTTTCTGAAACAGCCCTTTTTCAGATGTTTTTGTAGAGTAGAAAGTGGGATACCATACTTCTTAGCCGCAGAAACCGAAGTGGTCTCAAATTTTTTCATTGCATTCTTCATGGCCGTTTTACACCAGGACGCCTGTTCTGTTTTTCTCTTGTATTTATTTACCATCTATACAAGAATACAGAAAAGTTAGTATAAAAATGTATCAGACAAAATGGCAAAACGGGTATCTACCCGCTTTGCCCAAAAGCATATTTTTTACTAAAAAAATTATAACCTTAAATAAAATTTTAAAAAAAATTTAACATCGAAGTTTATAGGTGAATAGTGTTAGAATAATATAATAATATTGACAGTGAGAAAAATAAGCCGACTTTCGATTAGCCACAAGTTACATATCTAGAGTTTTTTTAATAAACTTATTAATTTTTTTATTTTGTGCTTGGTTACGCCATGTCGCTTTACTTCTGCTCCGCTGGGACTGATTGAAACTCATGAGTCTTCAGGTAATCACGGCATACTTTAGATATCGGCGCTTGCGCGCCATGCGGCGGAATACGAATGCCTACCCGCTTTAGGCTACCCTCCAATACACTGCTCAAAAAATTAAGGGAGCACGTGGATCTAACAAAATTACGCAAATATTTTTTTCCCCATAACTAAATCAAAACAAAATATCCATAATTTTAAGTATGGCAGAAAAGAACAGAAGAAAATTTAAATGTATTCAGAAAAAGGATTTAACCAGAAAAAGGACAAAAAAAAACAGAAAAAGGATTTAAGTGTAGAAATTTTGATTTTGAAGAAGCTGCCGTCTTTTGTTACCTGTGTGGTAAAATTAAACCTGTCGATTTTTGTTTTGAGGAAAATTTACTTGCAAATGACACAACAACTTGATCTACCCGAATTTATGGTTAGACGTACTATCTGGAGCCTAAAATCCTGACAAACACAAAGAAATGTGACGGACGCAGTTGAAATTGCAAGAAGTGGTGTGATTGCAAATCTGATATCGAATCTGAAGAAAAGGGCATGTTTAACATCATTCAGAACTAGGTTGTCCACGTCCTACCACAGCAAATACTCGGACCGATATGTCCAGTTAATAACTCGTCGACACAGAACAGCCAATACCAAACTAATTTAAGGACAGTTTCTTTTGGCAACAGCAGGAAGGGTTTCAAGCAGGGCTCGAAAAACCACCCGTCCTCCCGTCCTCGACGGTCAAAAATTCCCCGCAGGCAACAAATTTCTCGGATCCGACTTCTGCGGGGACGGCCATTTTCCCGCTAATGTTCGTGATACATTTTCAATTTTTCTTTTCTTACAAGAGTCTAGCGCCTCATTTCTAAAATGACCTTCTAATCTGGAAATCCCGTTAATTCTTTTATTTCTGAATAATGTAATCCTAGTAACTACTAATTCATTTTTGCAATTATGTAAATGTTTGTAATAAATAAGAGAAAATTATATTTTTATTTATTTAGAAGCTACGGGTTAGTTTCAAAGGAGGACGGGTACATTGTTGGACAAGCCGTCCTAGGGGACGGGTAAAATTTCTGAGTTTTTTCGAGCCCTGGTTTCAAGCCAACCAAATCGAAATAGGCTTCATGAGAATGTTCTGTATGCACCCTGGCAAATGGTTTGCATTTCTTTGACACTCAGAAACGGTGCTGCCCGAGGATAATGAGGTGAACCGGGTTCGAATCTCAGCGATGGCTGATCGATACGAATTACGCATTTGGTTTGCACCTACCACAGTGCTGATGTGAAATATCCTTAGTAGTAGACGTCATGAGTTAGAGTTCCCTTGCCGTCAGGGTAACCGTGGGAGGTGCTCGTGATCTTCCTCTCCTTGTAACTCAAATGCGGGTTAGGTCTATCAAAAAGGCAAATTTCTCCCAATACCTGATCCAGGAGCTCCCTTGTCTTCTGAACTGGGTTCAAAACTACAAGGCTACGTAGTTGAACATTAGTAGTAGTAAACCCAAAAATTGAATTGGCTGGTCAAAGATGGTTATAAAATTAAAAATATTCGTTCAGGAAGGATAACATTACCTATAAGGTGGTTTAATTGTATGATCTGGAAATATCACAGTTGGACGAGCTGACCTGCATTTCATTCAGAAATGCAATTTGACGGCTCAGTGGTATTCAGATGATACCGCATGTCGTATCTTACGCTGCAGTCATCGGTGATTACTTTCTTTTAGTGAAGGATAATGTCAGAACTCATACAGCCTGTCTTGTGGAGAAGCTGATCCAGATTGCGTGGGATGTATTCGGACAACTGCAAGACCAAGACTTGGAGATCGCACTTCGTCAAGAGTGCACTTCGTCAAGAGTGCACTTCGTCAATATTCTCTAAATTCTCATCGATATCCTTATCGCATTCATGCAAGATCGATGTGCGCTGGGGTCATAGCAGTTCGAGGAATCACACACTATATCAAACATCATTTCAGTACAATAAAATTTTTTGTCCTTTACATGTTATCGTTGTTTTGAAATATAATTTTATGTTATTTACATATATGTAGACCAGAAATGATTTTCTTCAACTGTTGATGGACACGGCTAAGGAGACGGCTAAGAGTGAGAAAAAAGATGATGTGGATGATGATGACATTGCTGCCAAGTATGGACAAGATTTCGTCAACCAAACCATTTTTAATACATCGGAACATAAAAGTAAGAGTCATTTTTATCATGCTTTGTTTGAATCGGGAGTGCGGCAATTATAAATAAGTTTCGAAAAATGGTGTTCCCCCCTTTTTTTTTAATAATCTGGAAATTTAAGTTGCTCTATGATAACGAGTTAATAAGCTTTTAAAAGAGAATAATCGAATTATACCATATCCGCCATTTTCCTAAATAATATATGTGTATATTTATATTATAAGAGCATCAAGAAGAAATCATGTCAATAAATAATCAAGCAAAAAATCAAACAATATATAAATAAAAAAAAACGACTTTAAAAGTAAATTTGCACAGCTGAGCCCCATAATGGCTTTATTTAGGGTCCTTAATTGCTTTTCTTTTATTAGTTTTTTTCGAAAATATTTTCAAAAATGATATCACTTCATCAAAATTTTATATTATTTAACTTTAACTGTATTTAAATTCTCACGAAAGATGATCTTCAGTTTAACCAATATCATCAGTTATTTTCGTTTAATTAATTGTATTTACAATTTTGTAATTGATGATCTTCAATGAGGTTTTACTTTTATTGCATTTTAATTTTTATAATAGATGATCTTCAATTCATTCAAGATCTTCAATTATTTTTCCTTCATTGTACTTCAAATTTTGGGATAGAAAAAAAATCTTCAATTCATGAAAGATCTCCAACCATATGCTATTTCACTATAGATGATCTTTCAATTTATTCACTTTTATTCTTATTTCAGACCTCTCGATGGATGAGTTGGTGGCCCAGTGTGTCATTTTCTTTTTGGCTGGTTACGAAACCACAGCAACATTATTAACTTACGTCCTGTACTGCCTGGCTCTCGATGGGGACATTCAAGAGAAAGCTTACCAAGAAATTACACAATGCTTAAAAGAGACAAATGTAAGGAAGTATTTCAACACCACTGGCAATAGTATTCTAATAATGGATAAACGTTTTTTCTCTTATCCGCTATTTTTTTATGTAATCAGGGCCTGATTATCGCCTAGGCCCAATAGGCATGGGCCTAGGACCCACAATTTCTGAGGGGCTTCAAAAATTAATAAAAAGTCTAAGGAAAGGTGGGCTAGCTTTGTGTTGGTTTAAGTATAAATAAAAAAAATAATAATTCAGCTAATCAGTGGCCTTTAGCAAAAATAACTGATTTGAGGCTTTTAAACTTTTTTTATTTTGGCATAACATTGTTTTGTTGTTTTAGATTTTGCTTTAATTTATAGATACGTAAACTTTTTCTTTAAAAAATAATCTTCAATTGTCTGCTTTCAAAATTTTTTAGAATATTTCTCTTGAATCATGCATTCAATAGATTCTTTTTCATTGTTAGGACTACTCTTCAGTAATTTAATTTCAAAATATTTTGTAAGGGGCCTTTAAAATTTTGTGGGCCTTGGGCCTGAATTTGTCTTGATCGGTCCCTGTATGTAATAACATTGAAAAATAGATTTCGCTCTGCAAAGAAGAATGTAGATTAACTTTTTTAGCGACCGCCAGAGGGTTAATTTTTATATATAATCTAAGCATAATCCCGGTTGCAGAATTAATAGAATGAATCTGCTTTTACGGTTTTAAACATCCAAATTTGTCTGCAACCTCAACGTAGTCATTATTATACATCGTAGTAGATTATTATTTCATTTTATTTATAACCGGCGTTAAATATCCGATTCTAAGTTTACGACTCAATGTTAGATGGATTACTGGATAGAATCCCCTTGTCATTAGACTAACCTTGGTAGGTTTTTGTAGTTTTCTCCTCTATGTAACGCAATTGGGGATCGCAACACTCGAATACGCCATCTGGGGAGAAACCGGTATTATGCCATTGGCCCTTCTCCCTTCCCTCTCCTCCTCTTTTTAGTTGTGTAGGAATGTACTACGATGTTTTCCCTTTATATTTAATAAAAATATTTTTTTAAATTTCCGTAATACTTTTCTTTAGAGCAATGTTTAAAGTAGTTTTCAGTTCCATATAGTATTCCAACATAAAAGATTTTAATCTATATGAAAAACAAAAGAGAAACTAACGTGCTTCCTTCCTCTATGACTCTCCACACGCTAATGGGGAAAGCATGCGAAGTGTTGCCATAGGTAGAGAGTTCTGCTCTACGCCACCTGCAGCCCATTTCGATCGCCATACGGGTTAGTTCCCTCGAAAATTCCTCCAGGACGGCTTGTTTGTCCCAATGATTGATCCAGGAGCTCCTTTGTTTACTGGGTTGGATTTGAAATTGAACATTGATAGTTGCTAAGTTAAAATTGGATTGGCTACTCAACGCTGGTTATAAAATAAAATATAGACATCTTATGCCAAATGATACGAAACGAGCAGTAAAATGTTCATTCAAATAACTAAATAAATTTTTTTTAAAAACTAGGAAATTTTGAATTCTTCGGATGAGGTGAAGATGATTTTTTGTGGGACTCAGCTCACGTTAATGAGCTAAAATCCATTGTAGAGATTGGTTCCGTATGACGTTACTGCTAATATTATTGAATCCAACATACTATAATACAATGTTCAGGAATCTTTAAATATGTAGCTTTATAGCATGTTTTCTAAGTCTTCATTGTTTAATATTTTTTGAATATTCTTGAAAAACTTAACTTTCGTTATCCTTAATTTTTTTTCTGAACTGAATTTCAAATATTTTTTCTAAAAAAAGACCTTTACATGTAAAGAAAATATGATAGGATACATATTAAAATAGTTTTCGAAAGGGATAAATTGATACAGAGTTATTCATATATATATCATTGTTCCTTATATATCGATATTTCATGATCAACGAATGTCCTCCGACTTTTTGGGGATTTGTGAAGTAGACTTATACATCGGGATATACGGTAATTAATGAAAGTTTTTTTGGTATAAAATCAAGTTAAGTTAAATTTTTTACGTTTAAAAAAGTCGAAAAGTGTTTTAGACAAAAAAAAGGCAGAACTAATTCATTTCCTTTTTTCAGACGCAATATATTAACTTTTTTTTTTAATGAAAAATGCATTTTTTTAATATATTAAATATGGTAGTCTACTAAATCATTCTCTCGTACAGGTTTAAAATTATTTTAAAATCTAATAGCATTAAAAACATTGTTTTTAAACCTACTATTTCGACTTAAATGTTGATAATTATGCTGTGAACCTGCATATTTTATTTAAATACAGGGTGAATTGACATACGAAGCTTTACACAACATGAAATATTTAGATAACATCATTTCAGAAACTTTAAGACTCTATCCGCCAGCAGTGAGGTAAGTAAATTCGTTCTTCTCGTCCTATGCTATGCTTATAGCTCTCTTAGTAGACGATTAGTACAGCAGATGAATTAGATTTTTAGTTTTGTGTAGTTTTTACTTAAATTTTTTTTAAAAATTTGCTCCGTATTTTAATTTGATATTTTTATATTCTTGTTAAATTATTTAGTGCTAAGATAGCTCAGATAACACTTGCAAAATTTAATGGTTAAAAGAAAAAAGACAATATTAATTGACATATTATCTTTTCTTCCATTCATTTATTCCCAGGCAGATGATAGGTAAAAGAAGTCCCATTACTGTAGGATTAAACGTGAAAAATTTATGAGGAAAATTATGAGCCCCGAAAGCTCTCTCTAATTCAATCACTCTTATTTATTATTGTCTATGCATAAATTTATATGATAAACTTCCATACGGCTGTGAAGAAATGTTGCTATAGCCTATGGAAAAATTTATTTAAAGACTACAGCAAACCATAATTTTATAACAAAATTTGATATATTTAAAAATATCATAGGATATCCCAATGTGGTTTTACCTATGGTAAAAATTTTATCATATACTTTTCCCTTATACCTATGACGCTAACTTACCATATGTATGGTGCAAAATTTGCTAAATAAATTAGAATATATAAAAAAATTTCCATGCATTCATAGCAAAAGTATGTGGCAAAATTTTACCATTGGCAAAACACCATATAAATATTTAATATAGGAATTATATAATATTTATATCGGAATTGCATAATATTCATGTAGGAATTATATAATATTTATATAGGAATATTTATGTAGGAATATTTTTAATTTATGTCAAACCATGACAAATTTTCCAAAGCCAGGTTATAGGTAAAAGAAGTCCCATTACCGTCAGCCTAAACGTGAAAAATTTATGTGCACTTAATTTCATCCTACAAATTTGTTGTTTGTAATTCCAAAGTTTGTTCTTCACATGCAAAAGTATTTAGTATTTCAACATTTTGTAAAGATGTATAGTTTTACTTGAAAAGTCTTTTTGCTAAACTCGGATACATAAAATAATGTTTTATGCATATTTATAAAAAAACTTTAACATAATAATGGAACAGTATAGGAAAGTATAATTTCCTATCAATCCACACGAGACATTAAATTGGTTATTTTAATTCCATTTTTGTTTTAATTGTGGTACCCTTTGAATATTAGTCATTTTTTCAGAAAACAAAAATGTTACAAACATAGGAAAGTAGCCTAAATCGTACACTTTTCACATTTAAATTTTCACCAATTACAAATCGCTGACAATTACAATTGAAGTATATTATTAATTAAATGCAGTTATTCAGCTTCTAAAATTAATATTATTATTTGTTTGTCAGTAAGTAGAAATTGTTTTCATAAGATCTAAAAATGGTATGACTAAAGAAACAGCTTACAAGTTGTCTAATTCGTACCAACCTCAAAAGTATTGAGCATTTATAATTAAGTGAATAAACATACTACGAATAATCCAAAATGATTTTTTAATAGCATTACAGGTATTGTGATATTAAATTTTTGAATTGTTACAAGGATAGTGACAGCATTATAAGCTTACTCATTGTAAGTTAAAATGTGCTGTTTGTTAAAACGGAACTTGATTCTTCTGCATGGATCTCCACGTCATAAAAGACAGATAATTTATTCGTTAGAGCGTTCTCTACTCAATAATAGTTTAGAAATTAGAAGTGGTATGATTTGCCCTACTTTCCCTTATGCAGCCAACCAGTTGTTTCCAAGCCTAGCTTACCATCCATTGCCCTTTTGCGATTTAAATCAGAAAGGTTACACTTTCGTTTTGCAAGAGAGCACCGTAAAGGTGAAAGGAAACCTTAGCTCAGATCCCACGTACAGATGGCGGCACCAGTTATTCACGAGGTCATTTTCTCAATTTAAACATAGATCTGAATGGAAAGGAAATTTTCTCCACATTCCTGTGCCCTTGGTGTAGAATCTGATAAAATTATTGTACACTAGATGGCGTCTTATAATGAAAATGTAACTCAGATTGATTTCAGATTTCAATGAAGGCGGATGTAAGCCTAATGTACCAAAACAAAATTTTGTTATTGTTTGAAACGAGAGCTCATCCTTGAATTTACACATGGCACTGCTTAACTACAGACTATATTACTTTCGATTAAACATATTTTACGAGGACATCTATTGTATTTACTCGGTGAGTCTTAACGGAATCGAGGATCGAGCCCCGGACCGGAGACCGAGTCTCTAATCAACGTGAATTGGATGACGTTATTGATTAGTGATAGCATGTATCGTAGCTCATAGACGAAAATAAATATCCTTTTTTTCTTCCCTTAGAACTGAAAGAAAGGTTGCATCAGAATATAAACTAGGCGACACCGGTATTATTTTGGAAAAAGACATGCTTGTTGGCATTCCTATATTTGTTATCCACCGAGATCCAAAATATTATCCAAATCCTGAGAAATTCGATCCAGATAGGTAACCATTTTAATACTTTTCTTTTTTTTACTTGTAGTTTCTAAATTTTTTAGATTATTTTGTAAAGATAACTAACTCAGTGGCGCGACAGCCCATTAAGAGGGCCAAGGCCGACTGTGCCCATCTCAGTTTTCTTGACCTTGGGCTCTGGGGTGCAGGAGCATATGTTCCGGTCAGGTGGTCAGCCGAACGCGGATTTTGTAAAGATATTTTCTGTTAATTTCTTTATATCGTTTTTAATATCATTTCCTCCTTTTGTTATTTTATTTAATAAATTTTTCAGTCAATGTTGTTTTATTTAGTAAATTTATTTCATTAATAAGTTAAGAGAACTATTCAAAATGATTAAAATTTTTAACATAGTTATTAAAATATAATAATTATTATTTTTAAAAACAATAATTCGAGATAACTAAAATATATCAAAATAGAAATTAAAAATAATTATTTAATTTAAGAAAAATAATTCAAAAAATGATTAAAATACATAAAACTGTTCATTAGAAATAATAATTTAAAAACATTTTATAAAAATACTTGAAAATTGTAATTTTTCGTCCATCATCATGACAGTCTTGTACAGGCCACAGTTTTCTCAATTAGTCGTCTTCTTCTGGCTTAATCAGACACTTATTGATTTCCAAGGTTTTAAGATCTTTTCCCACAGAATCAAGTGTCTAGTGTTTGGTCTTTTAACTTTTTCGGTTGCCAATAAAGTTTCCAAAAGGTCAGCCTCTGGTCACCATCATCCCTTCTATAAATGTGACCCAGCCATCCTATTTTATAGGATTTATTAACTGGAATTATGTTTGGCTGCTTAAATTTTCTGTACAATTCATAATTGTTCTGAATTGGCCAAACACAGTGTTTTCTTTAACAGTTCCGAAGATGGCCCTGAGTATTTTTCTTTCAAATATTATAGAATTATCAAGTATGTAATTTTCATCGGTTTTATTTAAATGTCAGCAGTCGCTGCCATAGAGCAACACGGGTTTAATTAGAGATTTGTTAAAATGTATTTTAGTTTTAATGAAAACTAGCTTTGATTTTAGTTGGTTTCTCAATATGAAGCGACACCATTTAGCATTATTTAAAAACATAAACTTTTTTTTTTTTAAATGTAGTTCTTTTTAAAGCGACGGCATTAAATAATGACGAAATCTTTTTGTCTTCGTTTGAAAATCAATCAGGGGTATCAGATTAACAGGGCCCGCTCTAAGCATTCGCCACTTCACCAAATGCAATAAAATCGTAAATTAAGCGAATAAAATCGTAAACTTAGCGAAAGTATTGGCGAATGATTTTTTTCACTGGGAAGATAAAAATATATTTAAGTCGATCATCAAAATGAATATTTCTAAACAAATCAGTACTTTTTTATTCGATTCAAGTAATTTTCGGTAGATGCGCCGCTTAACCAATTAGAATTGGGTCCAAGTAATATAAGCCTGAAACAAACTATAGTTTAACAGTTTTCTATGGGGAACAAATTAATCATAAATTTTTTTTAAGATTTGCATTTGGCGAAGGCTTTCGAAAATTGGCGAATGCTTAAGATTTTTGGCTAACTTACTGGCTAATAATTTGAAATCTTCAGTGTGGGTCCTGGATTAATTCTTTCAGCTCATTGCTGTAACTTCCTTACTTTTGCCTTCAAGAGAACGCTATACCGCGGCGAAACTTTGTATGACAAATTATGTATCACCTTTTTTGGTAACGTAACATTTGAAGTCGAGAAACGTGGAATCAGGTAAATCTAGAATTAACTATGAAATTTCTCAAAATTTTTTTGCAAATTATGGAAATGCAAACAAATTATTGAGGAATAACATCTCCACTACGTAAATCTAAGCATTTTTGCCGTAATTAATTTACATTTTGATAGTTTGTAAAGAAATTTTCAGCAATTGAAACCAAATAGTTTTCGCTTGGTTTGTCCGTACCCGTTTTTTTTCTAAACTTTTACTTTAAAATTACTTTAGAGGTAAAAAAAAAGAAATGTGCCTCGAAGGGTTTCTCCTGTGGTTCTTAAGAGGACCGAAAAAATCTTCATTGCAAATTCTGTTTCACCTCAGTTTTAATTTTAATTTATAAGTGTAGAAAAAGTGAGTTCCGAAAAACCTAAAGTAAACCATGAAGTTTCGATCGGATACATGCACTTCAAGAAGAAGAAGATCACAGATACCCACACATGTGACCTATTACGTCAGCTTCAGTTGATCGTTCATACCCAAAATGGTGTGTTAAAGTTGAGTTAAGTTACTCCACATAAGTCAGAACCTTAATTAACTTGAAGTTGATTAAATACAGCGCCTTATCGCACAGCAAATGTGTTGAAATATAATTCTTCCTCGTCTTCTACTTAACTTCTTAACTTGTTTATGAATTTTATTGAAATCATGATATATTTTTGTTCTGTGTACCTGGCAACTTCGATGCATAATTAGTTTATTCATGTTCTACATGACTTTGCCTGTCTTTGTTAAGTAAGAAATGTATAGTGAACGAATTGAAATCTTTGTGTAAGAATATAGAATGTGTCACGTATGAGAATTGATACTTGACAGGGCTTGGCTGAATCAAAATATAAGGAAAAGAAAGTTGCAAACGTTAACAAATGCCACGTTTCAACAAACAATCAGGATCGACTTATAGTTTGGCTAAAGTAAGAACTCCACTAACCATTCGTCTGAACCCGTGGCAGTAACTATGGTAATGAGGTATAACTATTTTAAGTGGGGGTATGGGGACATTGTTTAAGGCAGGTTTTGTCTCGGGTCGGTTAGAGAAATTGAATCTTTTTCTTCGCTCTATTGTGTTAGCCCTAGAGTGAAGAGAAGCTACCCTCCCTGAAATGCACTATTTTTGTTTCCATAGCAGTAGATGGCCTCAGACTTTGTGGTAAGGGGAGTTCTTACCGCAGACATACTATACCCCCACTACGTCACTTGCAGGTCTCCCAATCCACGGATGCACACAATTCCACTGAAATGCTAAAGTTTTTAAAAAAAACAACGCCTGTGGATCGTGATACCCACACTTCGTCACTTGCAGCTATTCCATTGTTGAGAAAGAAATTTCAAAATAACAAAATGCAAACAATATTGTGGGAGAAAAAACTTCCCCATTTCGCATTCTTAAGTTATTGCCTCATAAATTTGTTTCCATTTTGAAACTTTCTTTTCAATATTTAAAACTTCCATGGTTAACTCTAGGTTTCCTTGAACTCACTTTTCTTCATACTTTAAGTTTAAAATTTCTTAGTGATGTGACAGGGAATTTGCAATGAAAGTTTCTCGCGTGGTATAACATCCTCAGAGAACGCTTTACCACGGGTGAAAACACTGATAACAAATTATCTTTCCTCTTATCTGCTCAATTTAAATCACTAATGTAGATTAATTTCTTAAAAAAATAATCTACATTACTGATTTAATTCTTTAAGTATAGAAAAAATTATTTTTATATAAACCAAAAAAAAACTATATGAATCTTCAAAGGCTGATTTTTTTTCCTCACTGCAGTTTTATAATTGCAATTTGAAATTTTAAAAAGCAATTCAACATTTTAATATTCGTAGTTCCTGCTTGATTTATCTGAAATCTGCCCCCCCCCATATGTTTAGTTTTTACAAATGTAGTTTAAAGGAATTGTTGAAAACTGTAGTTTGAAAGAAAAGGAAGGCATTCTCTGACGCTTTGTAACACATTATTTTAATAGACAATGCAAACTATAATGATTTGTTTACTTAATATTTCAGATTTTCAGCTAAAGAGATAGCTAAAAGAGATTCCTACGTGTATCTACCCTTCGGACATGGTCCGAGAAATTGTGTCGGCATGAGATTCGCTCTCCTTGAAGCCAAAGTCTGTCTTGTATATATTATCAGCTGCTTCAAGACTAAGTCATGTGATAAGACACCAGTGAGTACTCTTTTATTCACTCATTCTTCTTACGTGATCACAAATAATGAACTTACATGGTGTTTCGGTTCATGGCACAGTTTAAGTGCCTTACACCTTGAAACAAAACTACGATTTTGAACTGTATGTATGATTTGCCGTGAAGGATTATCTGGGCTTTTGAACGAACGAACAGTTTTTTAAAAATTGCGAATTTGGCGATGTTTTTCCACCTAGATGAAAATTATCAAAATCTTTGCCTTATTCTCAGTTTTTGCAAATTTATATGAGCCCAGATAATGCAGCAAGTTTTTAAATATTAAAATATTGGATCACAAACACTTTTCATTTCCACAAAACTGCGAGTTTTTTCCAAATTGACTTTTTGCACATTTTTCAGAATTAAGCATTGGCTGGCACTGGCTTTAAGTAAGCTAAACTCTTCTTAACAATCATGATTAACTGTTGCAAACTCACAGCAGTTATGTAAATGGTATTGTTATTCGCAAAAAAAAGCATCATTTCATATGACGACGATATCTTCGAAAAACAACCCTAAGTTCTCACCGGTTGAAAATCGGCAATTTTGACTTTTTTTTAAATTATCTATTTAGTTTACAAGCTTTACAAAAGCCTTAAAATTTCTGATGACACAAATGCGGGTTAGTTTAATCAAAAGTCCTCCATGAAGGCTAGTTTAAATTCTGGGCCGGTTCAAAATTACAAGGCTATGGAGATGACCATTGATAGTCATAAACTCATACCAAAGTCAGCTGCTCCACGCCGGTTATAAAACATAAAATATTGATAACTTAGTCAATATTGTTACTTTTAATAGTATCTGTTTAGTGTGACGTAACCTCTGGTTAAACCACATCATCTCTGTTTTACAATTATCGAGATAACTATTTTAAACTATGATTTAATTTATTTATATCAATTTTGAAACTAAACTTTGACTAACTAAACTTTGAGTAGCTAATTAAACCTTAAAAATATAGTTGCGTCGATACTTTTTTTTTTTCCAATATATTTTTGTGAAGCAATTATTTGTATTTTCAGGTACCCATGAAGTTTGCCCACAACTCTTTTGGTATTCTTCAGCCCAAAGATGTTTTTCTGGCTACAGAAATAAGAAAAGATTGTCTACTCAAGCCTTAAAATTCCCAGTGATGATGTTACTTCAATGTTCCATCTACATAAAACTTTTATCATACTATTAATTGCTGACTAGTTTTTGTGAAGCAATATTGATTATTATCTTATGCATGGTTCTCAAAATATTTTGGGAAAATAATAAGAGTTCGTGTATTATCAAAGATTTTCATGGTTTTTACGACGTTCATCTAAAATCAAGTTGTGTTTAAGAAGTACAAAATTAACATTTGCTTGCAGGGTTGTTTCGTAATTATTCCCCTTAACATCTACATGCTTCACTCCCTTTCTCTTTATTCTGTTAATTGACTTGTTTCAGTTCAGTAGTGATTGGTTAGATTTCGATTACTTTTTTTTCTCTTAAATTGGTAAACACCAATTTCCATACTTTATTGACTTCATTTTTGTCAAGAGATTTCAAAAACTAGCATTGAAGGGAGGACATTATGAAACACTCTCATTGTAATTCGTGTACTATTAGCTTCGTGCATTTTCTACGTTTTGTAAATAAATAAATGTAACGTGCTGTTCATTTTATTAATAATAAAGTGTTGTTCATTATTTTTAACTTAGAATTTATTATTTAATTGCTTAGAAATTCGTAATATTTTTAAAAAGTATAACACACGAGCAGTCAACCACTATTTTTAATTTTTTTTAAAAAATGACAAATATATAATAGTTTTTCCTTTTTCTAATAATTAATAAGAATTATATTTTCCATTTAATTGGCAAAGAATAAACGAGTTTTGTTATTAGGTGAAGAATATTACGATTTGTTTAAAAAGCACCCTATATATGACAAAATACTAAAAAAATTGCAATTTAACTTTGAGAGGACCAAACTTGCAACTGGTCACCTGCCTGAGCTATTGGGGATCCTGTTTTAGAGATAGTGGCTACTTCCCACATTATCATAATCAAAAATACATATTCGCCGAAAGAAAAGGCATGTTTATTTAGAGAAAGTACGTTTTTGTGTCTGTTTTTATTACTTAATTTACACTTTGACGCAGACACCGAAAAAAACCTGTTAGATCATTGAATTTATATTTGTACTGTATAAAATTCAATAGAGAAAGTAGATTTAAAAAATTATTTGTCCTTCTTATTCAAAAATGAATCAATATTTGATTTTGTAAGTTAAAGAAATGAAATACTGCTTATCACAATTACTGCAAATAAGTGCAAAATTTAAAAAAAAAATTGTTTGGAAGTGAGAAATTTTTATGAAATTTTACCTTTAACGCATAAAAAGACACCGGAGCCTCATGCTATATTTCATAACTATACATTGTTAAAATGATAAATTCAATACTTTCTGCATCAAAGGATTAATAGTTGACACTAATAAGTTAGCCTATTTTAGGCAATCTCCAATGAACCTTTAAGAGTGGTACTAACGCGAAAATCTGATCACCAGAAGGAGAATTATTTAGGGTGTTATCTTTTCTATAGTACACACAAGTTTAAAATTTTTTTATAAATATAATAAAGTATATATATGCGTAATTTATTTTAATTTTTAAAAAAACTTAAGACTTCGGAATTGTATTGGATCCAATGATTAACCCTTTGACGCAGATGGGACACCGATATTCCTTTTGTATATATACTTTATTCTGGAGTTCTAATTACAAGCAAAAATATGTTTTGGTATTTTTCAATTATTAAAAGCAGTTTAATAGTTGTTAAAAAATATCCGTGAGATTATCAATATTATATTTATATGAAATTAAAAAAATCTTTTTTCATTCATATTAAAAAATTTATCAATAATCGATTTTCTAAATTAAAAAAATTTCATTAATAAATCCTGTTTGTCATTGAGATGAAATCGTTTCTCATAAATCTAAATAACTGCAAACTTGAAAAACTATCGTTTGAAAGTGAGCCGCGCCTGGAAGATTTTACCTTTAATACAGAAAAGTACACCGATGTTTCAAGCATAACCATAAATTAAGAAAATGCTAAATATAATATTCCCCACTCATTTTGACATCAATTAAAACAAAATAATGAAAAATATTTTTAATAAAAACTCTGGGAGGAAAATTTGTGTACAGTTCAGAAAAAAAATTTGAGCTGTTTCAGTAATCTGTTCAACAACCGAGCGTTGATGGTTGATGATTTAACGAATTACTAAAAAAAGAGCACATGAAAAAATATTCCGGAAATAAAATGAATGAAAATCAAGTGATTCAATCATGCAATTCGCACCAATGATTTGAAGCATGTGATTTGGATCAGTGATTCGAATCACGCTATTTTGGTCATTATTGGAATAACGTAATTCAGACTAGTGATTCGAATAATGCGATTCGATTCAAATCAAGTGATTCAGATCAGTGGCTCGAATCAAGTGATTCAAATCAATGGTTCAAATCATGTGATTCGGATCACCGATTCAAATCAAGTGATGAAGATCAGGGACTCGGAGCATGTCATTTGGATCAGTGATTCGAATCAAGCAATTCAAATCAAGTGGTTCGTATAACTGTTTCGTATGAAGTGATTCAGATCACTATTTCGAATGAAGTTCTTTGGATCAATGCTTCAAATCTTGCAATTCAGATCAGTGATTCGAATCAAGTGATTCAGATCAGTGATACGAATCATGCCATTTGGATCAAGGATTCAAATTAAGTGATTCAAATCAAGTGATTCGAATAACTGATCTTAGGAAGTGATTTATTCAATTACAGTGATTCTGATCAATGATTCAAATCATGTGATTCATAAGATCGATTAGAATCATACGATTCAGATCAGTGATTCGAATCAAGTGATTTCTAGCTCATTTCGAATCTAGTCATTTGGATCATTGATTCTAATAACATGACTTAATTGAGAATCACGAGATTCGAATCAAATGCTTCAAAAAAATTCGTAATCGCAAACAAATTTGAAAAAGTTTACTTATCTGTTCTATTTTTCTTATGTCGATAGCAAAAAATGTATTATTCTTTCTCATTAATAAATTCTTTTAAATAAATAAACATGCTCTTTATATCCTTCGTATAATTATATTCTATATACTGCTAATTGCCATAAACACTTTTAACAGTGGAAAATTTTAAGAAACTACGAAAGAAATTTTTTCTTCCTTTTTTTTATTTATCTGAAGTCAGTAATTGGAAAATCTTAAGTCCTTAATAATAAATGCGTAAAAAAATCTAAGGTTTTAAAAGAAATTTTTAACTGTATATGAAATAGCATCACTGTGAAACAAAACTAACTGAAATTAAAGAAACAGTTATTCATTATAATTTAAATCTATTTCGATAAAAAAAAAACTTATTCCAATCAGTTGCAAGATGGTGATTCAAATCACCGAATAAATTGTGTGATTCGAATCATCTATTCATTACACAACTCCATTAAGAATATGTTTCTATAACGATACACCCTATATTTCTTAACTTTTGGTGAAAACATTTATTTAATGTGTTTTCGGGGTAGTCATTAAGTCTGAATGAAGTTCTTATTACTAAACGAATCGCTTTCTTCTGATTCTTCCTCCTCTGCTCCTCGACGTTGTGGTGCTCTTAATCGTGCGCGACTCGGGTCCTAGTATTGGAAAGTCTGCGAATTGATTGAACTTCTGGTGCATCTCGGAGTTGCTTTGTAGCGATCAAGTTTTCAGACTGAATTGGTTTATGCCCCCCCCCCATATTACTTGCTCTCCTTCCTAAACGAATCCCAGAGTTTGAATAACTTCAAGTCAGTTGTGCAAAAACATCAAAAATATAATTTATTTAATGAAAATTGGTAAAATTAACATCAATGAGCACAATTTGAATTCTATAGTAGTACTTGCTTTTTCAGGATATAAAAGTCTGCTGCAACCTAGCACTTTTAAACTGCAAACCCTCATTTAATTAGCATGCTCATAAATGATCTGCCACGTTCATATCTTTGCCAATTATCGCTTCATAGCTTCAGAATTCAGTCTTCTCAAATCTAAAGAAAAAGGGAAAAAACATAGATAAATAAAATAAATTTAAGTTAAAAAACATGATTGCGTGAGTAAAAAATGTGTCCCACATAGCTTTTCAACTTTCTCAAACTTTTGAAAGACTGAAAATTAGTATATACCTATATTGCTCAAAAGCAGTCAAAATGACTGGATTGTGAATGGCAAAATAAATTTGTTTAAAATTCATTTTTAACATTTTTTATATTATTTACAGTTATATAACAAGTTATTAGTAAATATTAACAATAAAAAAAATCATATGTTGTACAAAAAGTCACGAAATTCTAAGAAATTGTGTCCTTATATACATCATTGTTTTTCGAATTGAAATTAAAAGCAATCAAAATGAGTTCCTTAGGCAATCTAGTGTTAATGATAGATAAAATTTATACAATAATTTGTTTTCTATCTTTCCCAGTGTATTTCTTCCTTCATTCACTCGCTACAGTTAGTCATCTCTATAGTTAGACTCCATAGCAACGTAAATACTTATATACAGTAAAATTAAATATAAAATAGCTATGTGTGCAATAAACTAATTAGCTTACAAAGAACTAAGTAACTTGATTTCATTAGATGCTTCAAACTTAAATGAAACATAAGTTACTTAAAAGAATTGTTATCAAGGGTTACTGTTTCATAAATTAAAAGTCTGTTTTTCATAATCAAGTTTACGAATTTTCGGACAGCCCTCTCATTATAATTTTGAAAATGGCGCAAATCTTCCAAATTAAAAAAAAAGTAGAGTTCCATAAAAATGAAAAAATTTGAAATTTAAATTATTCATTAATTTTGATAATTTTCATGTAAGGAGAAAAAGTATCACTATTTTTAAAAGAGTTAAATAACTTTTGATATATTTATGTTATTCTTCCGTTCGAAAGTGGCTGAGATAGCCCGGCTGTTAAGGTGCTGGGACTATGTCCAAGAGGTCGTGAGTTCGATCCTCACCGGTCAATGACTTCCGAGTACTAAAAGGTGACTGGTGCGAATCTGTCGGAGTCACAAAGACTTCCAAGTTCCCATAACAAATCAATACCATTGGGGGTACTGGATCAGAGATTGATAATGCTCTAGTTCAGCAGTTCAGGTTGTAATTACGATCTGAGGATGGATGGTGTGTGAATGTCTTCTTCCTATGAAACGGGAAGTGACGTATGCATGTTGTCTCCAGATGATCCTCAGGAATGTTTTTCAGACGACCGACAACAGCCCATTAATTATGGACATTAATTACAATATACATTACTTGCAAATAGATCAAAACATGTATTTTAATTTGTCAAGGTTTTTATATAGCAAAATATATTTATGTTATAAAACAAATATTTCATATGTGGTATACAATATCACGAGAAGTGCTCTCAAACATAAAATAAAAGGAAAAAAGTACATAAACAAGTTAAATAAGGTAAAAGAATTAAATAAGGTAACATAGGTAAAAAAAAATTGTGGTCATAAACAGCAGTGTCACACGGCTTTTAACTTACTTATAAAATTTATATGCTAATTTTATTTCTCTCTTCCTTCGCTTGTTTCTCCTTTTTTTTCACTCGCTACATCAAGATTCGTCCGTAGTTATGAAGGAATATCAAAATAAATACTTAAAATTAAAAATATCGTGCAATGATATTATTTTAACATCACCTTTGATAATATCATGCAATAATGCGAATCTTCTTTTAATGAAGGAAGAATGACAAGACTCCTATCCTAATAGTTCAACGTGGTCATAACTTCTTGCCATTTATAAAATGTAAAATTTTACTTGAAAAAAAAAATATTTAAAAAAATTAACAATTTGGTGTGAAAATTCCGTTGGCGCTTTTTTAATATATAATTGTCATTGAACCGTTGACCTACTTTTCAGTTTACGACTACCAATGTTCAACTACGTAGCCCAGAATTTTTGAACCCAATCCAGAAGACAAGGAAACTCCTGGATCAAGTATTGGGAGAAATTTGCCTTCGTGGAGGACTTTTTGAAGGAACCAACCCCCATTTGTGTTACATTGAGAGAAAAATCAGGAATACCTCCCACGGTTAGCCTGATAGCAAGGGGACTCTTACCTATGATCCGTCTACCACAGAAGATAATTTTACGTTAGCACAGTAGTTGGTACGAGCCGAGTCAACACCTCCTAGAAAGAACAGGCCTCAGCACGGGTTACCATAAATATCCCTCAGTAGTCCAAACGTAATGGCATATTTTGTATTTTCAACCACTGCGCAACTTAGTACCCCTAACGTAATGACATCTTTCTTATTTTTCATCTACTGCGCAGTTAACTTCGTCACATCGGACTACTAAATTGGATCCGTGCTGAGGAATATCTACTTCTAGGAGGTGTTGGCCGAGTGCGGAATTCAAATCAGCCAGCCGTCGTTGGAANTCTTGTTTGTCATTGATGAAATCGTTTCTCATAGATCTAAATAACTGCAAACTTGAAAAACTATCGTTTGAAAGTGAGCCGCGCCTGGAAGATTTTACCTTTAATACAGAAAAGGACAGCGATGTTTCAGGCTGTATTTCATAACCATAAATTAAGAAAATGCTAAATATAATATTCTCCACTCATTTTGACATCAGTTAAAACAAAATAATGAAAAATATTTTTAATAAAAACTCTGGAAGGACCCGGAGCCAAGTACTCGAGAGTCTTCGAATCGATATGACTTCTGGTGCATCTCGGGGTTGCTTTGTAGCTATCAGACTGAATTAGTTTATGAGCCCGTGGGGCCTGGGTAGCCCATATTACTTGCTCTCCTCACTAAACGAATCCCAGAGTTTGAATAACTTCAAGTGAGTTGTGCATAAACATCAGAAATATAATTTATTTAATGAAAATTGGTAAAATTAACATCAATGAGCACTATTTGTATTCTAAAGTAGTAATTGCATTTTCAGGATATAAAAGTCTGCTGCAACCTAGCACTTTTAAACTGAAAACCTTTATTTAATCAACATGTTCATAAATGATCTGCCACATTCATATCCTTGCCAATTATTGCTTCATAGCTTCGGAACTCAGTCTTCTGAAATCTGAAAAAAAGGAAAAACATAGATAAATAAAATAGATTTAAGTTTAAAAACACGAGTGCGTCTGTAAAAAAATTTGTCCCACATAGCTTTTCACCTTTCTCAAACTTTTTAACACTAGAAAGACTGACTATCAAAAAAGTGGAGGATCCCCCCCCCCTCTCATCATTGGTATGCGGCCAAGGAACCGGGCTCTTCACTTGTTCATATAGGTGATAGAGCATCTCAAACAGCTATTTCCAGACTGGCAAGTGGACACACGAATTGTCTCTCGTATTTTGAAGAAAGAAAGACTTATGCAGTCTGCTCCAAATGTGAAGCCCCAGCAGGCCTCAGCCGAACATATCCTTGACTGCTTGGGCCTTTCCAAAGAGGATTTCTATACTCCACTTCTTGTCATCGACTTTTTGAGGGTCAACAACCTACTGGATCTTGTCTGACTTCGTCAGACAATTAGAGGATAGGAAACAACAACAACAACAAGAAAGACTTAAAATTAGTATATACCTATATTGCCCAATAGCAGTCAAAATGACTGGATTGTGAATGCGAAAATAAATTCGTTTAAAATTAATTTTTAAAATTTTTTAATATTATTTACAGTTATATAACAAGTTATTAGTAAATATTAACAATAAAAAAATTATATGTTGTACAAAAAGTCACAAACTTCTAAGAAATTGTGTCATTATATACATCATTGTTTTTCTGATTGAAATTAAAAGCAGTCAAAATGACTTCTTTAGTCAATCTGGTGTTAATTATAGATAAAATTTATACAATAATTTATTTTCTATCTTCCCCAGTTTATTTCTTCTTTTATTCACTCGCTACAGTTAGACAACTCCATAGTTAGACTTCATAGTAACGTAAATACTTATATACATAAAAATTAAATATAAAACAGCTATGTGTGCAATAAACTAATTAGCTTACATAGAATTAAGTAACTTGATTTCATTAGATGTTTCAAACTTAAATAAAATATAAGTTGCGTAAAAGAATTGTTGTCATGGGTTATACTGTTTCATAAATTAAAGGTCTGTTTTTCATAATCAAATTTACCATAAGACAATCATTATAATTTTGAAAATGGAGCAAATCATCCAAATAAAAAAAAGTAGAGTTCCATATAAATAAAAAGCATTTGTGTTCTAATTTTTTAATATTTAAAGAGTTACTCCGCTGCATTATCCAGACTCATAAAAATCAAGTAATTGAAGAAATTTGAAATTTAAATTATTCATTCATTTTGATAATTTTCATGTAAGGGAAAAAAGTCTCATTAAATGGATGATTTTTAACAGAGTTAAACAGCTTTTGATGTATTTATGTTATTCTTCCGTTCGAAAGTGGCTGGGATAGCCCGGCTGGTAAGACGTTGGGTCTATGTCCAAGAGGTCGTGAGTTCAATCCTCACCAGCCAATGACTCCCGAGCACTAAAAGGTAACTGGTGCGAATCTGTCGGAGTCACAAAGGCTTCCAAGTTCCCATAACATATCAATACCATTGGGGGTATTGGATCAGAGATTGATAATGCTTTAGTTCAGTAGTTCAGGTTGTAATTACGATCTGAGGATGGACGGTGTGGGAATGTCTTCTTTCTATGAAACGGGAAGTGGCGTATGTATGTTGTCTCCGGACTATCCTAAGAGATGTTTTTCAGATAGTCGCCAACAGCCTATTAATTATAGACATTGATTATGGACATTAATTATAATATACATTACTTGCAAATAAATTAAAACTTGTATTTTAATTTGTCAAGGTTTTTATGTAGCAAAATATATTTATGTTATAAAACAAATATTTCATATGTGGTATACAATATCACAAGAAGTCCTGTCAAACATAAAAGAAAAGGAAAAAAGTGCAAAGTTAAATAAGGTAAAAGAATTAAGTGAGGTAACATAGGTAAAAGAACTGTGGTCATAAACAGCAGTGTCACACAGTGGCTTTTAACTAACTTATAAAATTTATTTGCTAATTCTTTTTCTATCTTCCTTCTTTTTTTTTTACTAGCTACATCAAGATTCAACCATAGTTATAGAGAAATATCAAAATAAATACTTATAATATACTTTAAAATAAAAAATATAATACGAATCTCTTTGTAATGAAGGAAGACTCCTATCCTAATAGTCCAACGTGGTCATAATTTTTTTTGTCATTTATAAAATGTAAAATTTTATTTAAAAAAATATTTTAAAAAATTAACAATTTTGTGTGAAAATTTCATTGTCACTTTTTTTAAATATATAATCGTCATTGGATAGTTGACCCACTTTTCAGTTTACGACTACCAATGTTCAGCTACGTAGCCCAGAATTTTTGAACCCAATCCAGAAGACAAGGAACCTCCTAGATCAAGTATTGGGAGAAATTTGCCTTCGTGGAGGACTTTTTTAATAGAACCAACCCCCATTTGAGTTAGATGGAGAGAAAAATCAGGAATACCTCCCACGGTTAGCCTGATAGCAAGGGGACTCTTACCTGTGATCCGTCTACCACAGAGGATATTTTTATGTTAGCACTGTAGTCGGTGCGAGCCGAGTGCGGAATTCAAATCAGCCAGCCGTCGCTGGGATTCGATTCTGGTCGCCTCATTGGGAGGCGACTGCTCTATTCCCTGAGCCACTATGGATCCATTAAAACTTTTTGGAAAATATTGTGTGATTTATTTTCAAATTAAAACATGTGGTCTTTGCAGTTATGTTATTTAACAAAAATGGTAACCAGTGAACCAGCCTTTTGTATTAATGCATTTTTTTATCTATAAAATACTGTTTTTAAGAGTACTTTAACGTTTATGCTTATACAGATAAAAGGTTTCATTATCATAAATTTCTCTGTTAGTTATTAAATTCTTATTAAAGCATTGCTTAGTTAAAATTGGACAAGCATTTTAGCTATGAATTAATATTTAGGATATTTTGTACACTTACGACAGAACGATCTCTCTTTACGACGTCCACGCTTTTTTCATTCCAAACCAGAGCCGATGGGACAAATAATTCAGAAGTTATAAAAATTTTATGTACAATTTTTGACTAATCTAATTTACGCTCGTGACATAATTAAACTTAACAGTAATATTTACTTTAAAAAATTATTTTTTTTAACTAAATTTTATTTTATTTATATATAGTTTAAAGAATTCAAATTTAATAAAGTAAAGAGAACATTAATTATCTATACACTTTATAATGAATACCATAATTTGCTAAGTCTCACCTCGATCAGTGTTAAACTCCGATTCAAATTTTTTCGACAATTTTAAAAGTACTTCTGTTGCCAAATGAGGGTTTCTTTCTATCCAATATGACCATTCTGGAGTTGAGAGAATTTTATGTGCATTAACTATGATGTAGTTTACCGTATAAGTTTTCAAAATCATATGATTTATCATATCAGCTATATACAGTACTCTGCATACATTTGTAACTGACAAATTCTTCTCCAGATATGTAGAGCACTGCTTTACCAAAGACAACACTTGATATCTTTCTGCTGCTGCTAATAAGTCAATAGCGATATCAACGTCCATGTCATTCACCGCTCCGTTATACAAGTATTCCAGTAAATATTTCAGAGTCTGCTCTCCAATATCATTGATATCAATGAGGTCATTGTTGTTCTTTTTCATGTCTTGAACGAACATTTCAGAGAATACAGATGAATAGTCAGAGAGTAAGCTTTTGTGGACGTGAAAAATATCGTTGTCCGCTCTTAATTTGAGATCAGCGGAAGTTTCATCCAAAGACAAATTTTGGTAATGATGTTGTGAATAATAAACTAAACAATCAGATGATGCACTCGATAGCGATTCATAATTGAGAATTGCACTAATGTCATCTTTCCGGCTATAGTTAATCTTCGAAATAAAAGAATATAGACGCAAAATATAAAACTTAATCCGAATCTCTTCACGCACAAAACAACGAGCTTGCTCTAAATGTTGTTTAGTTATGAAAATTGGAAATTCCCAATTTCTGTTTTCTTTACTAAACTCATAATCACCCTCACCACAAGCTACCTGATTACCAATCGCATTCATCAGTTCTATGTCACATGTCAAATGGTGCGTCCAGTCATCTTCAACAGTCGAAACTAGATCAATATGAATTTTGTCTTCCACATATTTAAAGTTAACTTTAATCGGCACGTTATCCAATTCGATTTGTTTGCTTGCAGACCAATCGTTGCAGAACTTGAAAGACCATACATACGAAGGTGTATGACAGCTGACATCCGTTTCAATTTCACAACCGGTCTTAAAACCTTCACTCGATGTCACAGGACTGTTTGACATGTAGCAACGGAAGATTAAAGTGTCCTCCGGGTATTTCAATATTTCTTTAATCAAATCATAAAGTTCAATTAATCTACATAATTCCGAGGAAGATCCTTCTTGAAATTCTTGGTGAAACACATCGGAAGTTTTTAAAACAACACCAGTGGAGCTTGCTAACTGATACCAGAAGTAAACATCAATAGTTTTAATTTTAGAATTATTTTTACCATCGAGCCGTTTTAATCTACACTCGAGATCTTCGGATACTGTTCTGGGAAAGAGACATACTTTCCACTCGCTGTCTTCGAAACTTTTAACTTCAAATGCCGGACTGCTGAGGCACTCACAATAGATTTTACCGAAAAAATTTAAATGGTTAATTTTCCAAGTGAATAGAAATTTTTTTCTGTCGTCATCTGCCATTTTGGAATGATTAACTGACTAAGAATTAAAGGAATTCATTTTAGAAAAATGCATTCACATTCGAGAGCCACTGAAACGAACAAATAGATCCTTAACTCTACATTTTGTCCCACCGTATCAGTTCAGTTCATTAATGCGTAATCATTGATTCGTGTTGCATAACGAACTGCCAACAGCGATTGCATGACACTGAGAAATAATATCCTACCTCCTTTCTTTCTCCCATACACGCATGCGCGCGCAGTGACAAAAGAAGAAAAAAAAAACTTAACTGAAGGTTGTTGATTTGTATTGTCTGCTTTGTAGTGTAGTATTCTGTAACTAAGCATATAATTTATCTATTTTAAAGTGTGATTTTTTTAATTATATCATTAAAAGCGATTAGAACAACTTATTTCCTTGCAATAAAAAAAGTTCTTATTGGGAATTTGACGTTGATTTTAACCAGTCCTTACATTTTAGAGAAGTACACTTTTTTTTTGGAGGTAGACCGCAGAAAAAAAATTTACTTTAGTGGATCGCAATTAGTACCGTTTTCATGCTAACCCTTTGGCGCAGATCGGACAATGGTGTTATTTTCATAAAAAATTTTCTGCTCCTCTAATTACAAGCAAAAATATTTTTTGGTATTTTATAATTATAAAAACATTCTAATAGTTACTTAAAAGAATCTGTCAGATCATCGGAATTATATCTGTATTAAAATTAAAAAACCAAAAAAAAGAGGTTTATTTTTTCTTCAAATTTTTCATTTAAATTCAAAAATTTATCAATAACTGATTTTGTGAATTAAAGAAATTTCTAAAATGAATGCCTGTTTTTCTTAGATCAAAAGAACTACAAATAAATGCAATTTTGAGAAATTATTGTTTAGAAGTGAAGCGGTGTTTGGAAAATTTTACTTTTAAGGCAGAAAAAGACACCTGTGTTTAAAGTATCAAAAAACTGCTACATGCAATATTTTTTGTTTCTTATTTTGACATAAATTAATACAAAATAATAAAAAAGAAAGAAATATATACTTTTTTTAAAATTCTGTGTCAAAGGGTTGATTATAATATTTAATGTAAACATTACTTTAATATGAGTCATTAGTTGAATATGAACAATATCAGTTTATCTAAAAAACTAACACAATGTACTACAGCATATTAAATAGTATTTATGAAGTAGATGCTTAATATTTTCGAAGTAAAGAAATTAGCTCATGTTGCCTTCTCTGTATATAATTAAAAAAATAGAATTTTCCTTTAATGCAAATTAAACTGTTAGTAGATATTTTTTACTGTATATAAACTACTTTCATTTTTAGTTTATTAATATGTTTTAGTTGAAAAAAGATAAAATAAAACATTTAAATATTTAAAGTCAACAGTCCTTTTTACGAGGCTTAATCGGTTGTAAAAATTTATAATAGTAGGGTAAAATCAATATTTCGCAAATTAAAATTTTTTAAAACCATTTTATCGTTCTGTGCTTTGAAGACGAAGAAATACCATAAAAGTCACATCTGTAACATATAGAGCCATCCCAGAGCCGGATAATACCTTTCGTTGGCCCTAGGCACAGAGCCGGAGCTTTTGGGCCCTCCCCTCCTTCCCCCACTCCTCCTCTCTTTTCAAAATATATGCTAAAATTTTCTTGCATATTTTTTTTTTTTACATTTTTATTAATATGGATTTTAATTTACGAATTTGTTTATCGAACTTTATCTGCAATACCGACATACTGCCGATATTGCAGTTGATATCGATAATACCATTATGATTAGTTCGATCGATAACTATGTAAACACTTCACGTCAACAATACAACAACAAACCAGCAAAGAAAACAGTGAAATTGATAGTGAGATTAATTACAAGAAATATTTATACTACAAATAGCTTCATAGTTTTCATGATACTACTATGATAACTAAGTGAAGGAAATTAACATTGTCAAAAGTAAATCTTTTGAAATTATTTATAAATAAATTTGCAAGGTAGGTTAAATGTTTACTAATAGAAAAAAAATTATTTAATACTATTTTAATAAAATGTTAGTCACGTTTTGTCAGGAAATGTCAGGAACGTATTACGCCATTTTAGATGTATTAATTTCAGAAATGACTAAAAGGCGTAAAGCTTACAGTGATTTGTACGATAATTTCGGTTTTCTTGTTCACAAAAATCTGTCAGAATCTGAGATTAAACTAGAAGCGCAAAATTTGGTGAAAATTTACTCATCCGATTTAGAGGAAAACTTTGTAGATGAATTTTTACTATTTTCAAATTTGTATGAACATAAATCTGCACAAGAAATGTTGAAGGCTCAAATTAAAGATAAACTTGTGAATACTTTTCCTAACGTTCACATTGCATTAAGAATATATTTGTCGATTCTTGGATCAAATGCAGAAGGAGAAAGATCTTTCTCCAGATTAAAATTGATAAAAAATTATTTGCGTTCAACAATGAATCAAGATCGTTTGGCATCGCTCGCACTTATGTCTATTGAATACGACATTTTGCGTAGTTTGGAATTCGACAGCATAATACAAGATTTCGTTGAATCCAAAAATCGCAAAAAAGTAATATATTAGATCATAAGATTCTGCAAAATAATTTATTACCGAAAAATATTATATTTTTATTTGTATCTTCATAATTTTGTGCAAAATACACTTGTTGTTTTTAAAGCTAAATTATTTTTGTCAACAAATTTTTTTCTCCCAAGTTTTTCGTAGGCCCTAGGCACGTGCCTAGTGTGCCTATAGGTTAATCCGGCCCTGAGCCATCCCAATCCCGAATCTTGACCCTCAAATTATTTATTATTATTAAGGGGTCACAGTACCCAAAAAATGACCAAAACATCGAACAATTTTTTATTGCTTATAATAAAACTTTAAATTACTTCAAATGCACTGAAAAAAAATCATCTCTCTATCTACAGTTTTTAAATAGTTATGAATGATTTTAGATTGGCCTAATACAGAATGCCCTAATGCTCAGCAGACAGACTTTTCTCATCGATGATAATTTTGTGTTTTAATCTTAATCAAATCCCTAAGGATTTTTTTCTGTTTAAGATAAAGCTTTGAAGTAAACTTTTATATCTTAAATATAATAGTCTTATTTAAACTGTGCATGCAATAAGCCTTTTATGAGATATTACAATATTTACAGCATGTTATATATACCTAACAGGAATTTTTAACCTTTTTTGCTACTTTTTTACAAAATAATCTATAAAAAATATTCTAATTGATATTTCACCAAATGAATGCACAAAGTTGTTAAGATGAATATTGTAAGCACTAAGAATTTTTTTTAAAAAAATATGTTAACATAGAAAAGCCTTAGAGATTTAAAAATTTCGAATTTTTTAAATTCTTTTAAAAAATTTAAACAGTTTAATTATTTTTTGAAGATAAATTATTGATTATAAGTTAAATTAGCATGTAAGGCATCCAGAAAATAAATTATTATACCATTTTTTAAGAAAATTGTTGCAAGGGTACTGTGACCCCTTAAATTATTATTATGAAATTATTGAATTGACCTGCAAAATTATTTTTTGAAAAAAAAGCAACAAAATGATATAGTATTACCTTTTGAAAAAAAAAAATTCGTAAAAGAATTTTTTTCAGTGTTTTCAATTTTTAAATTTAATTACACCATCTACCTAATTCTAACACAATTAGATTTTTTCTGTGTCGTATAAAATTTCAAATTAAAACACTGACTACAAATATCATGTATAAAGAATCAAATAAACATTTTTCGGAATTATATCTGCAATATAATTTTTTTGGTAACTTTGCACATTCAGCTTTTCATTATTAAAAAAGAAATATCAAATAAAATTTTATTTTTTTAAATACTTTATTTCTTAAAGTAGAAGTAAAGCACGGAAGTTACTGAAGGATTATTAAGTCCATATTGATGACTACAATCGTTCTTCGGTGTTCATTTTTGCCAACAGAACTTGATAAATTTTTCAGTTATACAATAATAAATTTAATAATAATAATGCTTTAAACTATAGTTTAACATATCACAATAGTTTTTTAAGTATTAACAAGTCTGCTTGAGAGTCCTGACCAATTAAAAATACGACCCAAAACAATAAACAGTGGGTTAAAGTTTCATTTTTTTTCAACCGCACTGTATTACATATTATTTTGGTTAGCAAAATGATTTAATATTATTACCTCCGAGCTCTTAAGAAATTCCTTAGTTTGAAAATTTTACATACAGATCACGTTGTGATAAATCGGGAGAAGATACATTTTCAGAAGACGCTTTGATTAATCAGACATTTGCTTGACAGAAAGAAGAAAACTTCTTAGGGTTAGCCCAACAATAATTAAAGGAAGAAAAATTCTCTGATGAGGTAGGTATCCATTATTAAAGATGCTAGTAAATTTCACGCATAACTTAATAGTTTGCGAACACTAGTTAAAAATACTGGCATACAAAATATATACATACCGGCTTAGTTGTTAGAAACAACCTTGAAATTCGATGCAATATTTGAAATTATTTCACCTGCTAGTCTGGCATTTTCTTGCATGAAATATCTCCATTCGTCAGAATTGAATATGAATATCGAATTCATTGCGATGAAATTTATTGCAGCTTTTTTTAAACTGTTATGGCTGATCATGTCGGCAACGGAAATTATTTCGGTAACATTTTCCAGAGACAAAGTGGATTCTAACAATTCAGCACATTTTTCAACCAGTGACGATACTTGATATTTATCGGCAATCACAAAAAGCTTTTTAGCATTTACGTAATTAAAATTTTCCACTGTCTCGGTGTAAAGGAATTCAAGAAATAACTTCATAGTATTTGCTTCAAAATCAGGAATGTTTATAACACCAGTTTGAGACTCAATCATATTTTGATCGAACATAGCTGAAAAGACGGGTGAGCGAGAAGCTAGAATACACTTGTGAGCTTGCATTTCTTCGTTTTCTACTTTTAACTTGATGTCGGTGTGGACGTTGTTGCACAGCATAACTTTTAAATCTCGTAAAACTGTACTATTACCTTTTGAACCATATTCTGAGCTTGATATTACAGGTTTTATTCCGTTTGAAGCAGCTGTTTCGCAAAATAAGTAAAAGCTGTCAATTCCCAAACAATCATGATTACTGTCCACTTCTGTTTTCGTAATAAAAGCTGGCAACTCCCAAATGTCGCTCCTATCGTTCGTTTTAAACAAATGAGTGAAAGTTCTCGATTTTAAAACATCTCCATTCGACTTTACCAGAGATACTTTACATTCAACAAATGTTGGCGATATAGTCTCTTCTTTTTGGCTTACGTTTATCTTGACTTCATTATCAAGCATATTCAAACTGATTTCGTACAATGAAGTTTCGGTAAAGACGAGTTCTTTTTTTACAGGCTTCGAGGAAATATCGGTGATTTTAACTTTCCACAAAAACAAGATTTGATTAACTGGAATCTCAGAGTGAACTTCAAAATCAGGAGAACACTTATGTTTGCTGTTATTAAACATGTGGCACTGTACTGTTAGAACATTTTTCGGCCATTTTTTCAGCTTGCTTGAAACTTCTTTTGTGTGTATAAAACGTTCCCAACCAAAACGTTCATTTATTTTATAGGTATAGTTTTTGGTTTTTGCCTTTACATAAATTTCACCAC